TGTCCTCAGCGGCTGGTAGGTTTGGAGCCAGAAGGCAAGCCTTTGGTCTGTGCTACTGTCTAAATGGTTTCTTGGCGACAGGGTCGACAACGCTTACGCACGAACGACTAATTATTCTAGTTCTAGAATGTCTTTTTCATTCATTCAAAAGAAAGAAAAGAAGGTTGGTCATTGTTGGAATGTCGGACTTCCTTCACTTTCATGATTGGGCCATTACGGCGCCTTGTTTTCATGAAATTGACTGTGCGGTGTTAAATTTCCGTTTCTGTGCAATCAGCGAAGATTACCTCGTTTTTTAACGCGGATTCTGCAGTCAAGCGCAAGCATGGCGTGTAGTCTCGTGTTTCCTTCCCATAGAATGGTACCCATATATCAACCTCGGAAAGAAGAACGACGAGTGACTTCGTCCATTCAAACAACAGTACCGATATGTTATCAACACAGGCTCATGGATTCTGTGGTGTTATTTTCCTACTGCACCAAACCGTTTATAGTACACTACGAGTTCTTCATGTTCTTTCATCTCTGAATATACGAAAGCTTCAGAGGGCGGGGGGCTGCACCTTTCGTATTATAACAAACAGAGGATTCAACCCCTGTTTCAGCTTTAGGCTTTCTATCATTAAGGAAAGACTAGCGGAAATTTTCAGTAAAGATTCCGTGCAATAAACTTCAGTCCTACTATTCGTTTTCGAAGCCGAAAACACTACTATCAATTCTTCATGGCAACTTTCTCAACTTCGTTCTCTTCAGAGTTTCACGTAATTGCCGTCCAGAAAAACAGACAGCGTTCTGAGTAGAGAGTCATCATGTCATCACAGATCAACTTTAAGTCAGAACGGCTCTTTCTAGTTCATTCGTTCTACTCTTCATCCGGAGGCGTTCTTAGGAGAACATCAGACGTACATCCGTATCAACATGACGCGTGTCTGTTCAGTCTCGACGGAACTGGAGAAGCACGTGATCAAGTCGTATAGTGTGTTGTGTGTTTATTGAGAGTATCACTTTGAGCCGTTCGCTCATGCAGAATGGCGCTGGTTGGTGATGTTCACAACTTTGCAACACTTTTGCTATAGGATACCGGTTATTGCATCCTAAAAGGAACAATTCCTCTCTGAAAGTAGACCTGCCTCTGGGCTGTTTTTCAAGATGGTCGCACGCCGGACTCCTAGTGACACGAGAAGTTCATTGGCTCGAGTAAATGGTTTATGTCCGCCCAATTTGTCTAGCAGGACAGGACAAGCCCCTTTAAATCTTCACATTTACTGCATTTACTTGTGCCTGGAAGAGCATAGAGTCATTGCAAGTCCTGCAACCGTTGATTTCATTCAGAGCTTTGTACATACACACACACACGTACACACACACACACACACACACACACACACACGCACACACACCGAATTGCCCTAATATGTTTTCATAAGAAAATGGGTACTGAGTCGTGGTTAGTGCTTTCTGCACGAAGCCGAGTTCAGAAGTTCCAAGTGTGTCTTGTTAAGCCATCGTTAGAATCTTTTCTGAAAAGTTTCCACATTGGCAACAAGTTCCGGCGAAACTTGGTTAAGCTTCTTACAGAGTACAAGTCATTGAAGATTTCTTGCTCTTATGCAAAATCTGATACGTAATTTACAATCATGACAATCGTGATTTTACGCCAGATAAGCGATGAAACTATTTTTGCGCAGATATCAGGCTTAGACCACGTAGGACGTTCTTGACACTGCCAGATATTAATTAATAAATCAGTGATTTGCAATTTTCGCATTTGTTTTCAAAGCATACACTCTACTTCTTGGAAACATCTGACTTCGCTAATTATATGATGACATCGACATTTCTGATGTACGTAGTGACCGTCATATGATCCAAATATATTCGCATGGACGCGGGTATCCATCGAAATGTAAAAGTCAGTATTTTAACAATTATAAACGAAATAAAAGGTAAAAATATCTTAATACAGCTAACGTCGCCCTCTGACTTATAATTCGCGAGTTTTCGTTCCGGGATATTTAACGGCTGTAAGTCTTAACTACGATGAATTAGCACCAAGGGGTCGAACAACTGTTGAGCAGGCTTGGAGAAAATCCGCTCGAGTCAAAGCTCACTACTGTGGCTACACGTCAGCTTCTAGGGCAGTATTACTGCGATATTAATATAAATGTTATTGGTATAAATGAAATATGATATTAATGTGAATATTGAAAGTCGTATATGATTTCTTTATGCGGGAGATGCACCATGAGCTGTCATTGCACATGAGGATGATCTGGGTTCGAAAACTTCTTTATTGAAGTTATCTATGTTGAGGTTTGTTTTCCGTAAATAGACTTTGTGCCGAACGGACTGCACGGAACAGTCAGCTATCAGGTGAGTCAAGGAAAAGTAGAACCGCTCACATCGAGGAGGATGGCCGTACATCTCGCCCTTTTCGGCAGTACCACACCAGAAGAACAAACTGTTCCCGCCGTTCGCAATTCAGCGACTCATTACGACTTACTACCCATTTCGCTGCTGGTTGCACCGACGTAATGTGGTGTACGTTTTTCATTTAAGGGAATAAACCTTAAGAAAAATTTTGTTTTCTCACGGCGCTTAAACTTCGCACTTCCAGAATTCAAAGCGAACACAACTGCAGCTCTGCCATCATATCCCAATGTTGGTCGTTTATTGTCACTGTCACACATACACAAAAGTTAGGAGGAAACATCTTCCAGTTATCCTTCTAGTTGACGGATTTCAGTCTGCTTTTCAGCTCCGATTGATAGCCGGCTTAAAACTTTCATTGAAGTGTTGAGTTACCGTTCTTGGCCTGGTCAAATGGGTTCAAATGGGCCATTGCAATTATTTCAGCCTACCCATTGGGGGCAGTTCGCACTACTAACTGTTGATCGCTGACAGGGGTTCCACAACCGATGATGGATGACCGATGTGGACGCTATTCAAATGTTGGTCGGCTGTGCCACTCCCTTCCACGTCGAAAAAAGAAAGGAAACATCTGGAATGAGGGAATACTACATCGAGGAATATTAAGCTGAAGGAAGTCAGTGGAATCAGCATGTCACCAGAAGGCTTGCCACCAGATGAATTTAGACATCGGATACGGCAGCTACGAGCCACATAAAAAATCCGTGGAGTTATTACGATCTTTAAAACGATGGAGAGAACATCTG